ACTCCTTATGTATCTTTGCTTTGTGCGCGGTGATGGGGTCAGCAGCTGTAGCAGCGTGCTGTTTTATTTGCTCAGAAGTGAACGGGAACGAGGCTGGGAGTTAGGGATAGCTCCCAACGTGCCTCGTGCGTCAACACCAAAAGCTCGCATCTAACACATACTCACATCAGAGGTAGAGAACAACCAGAAGTAAGGCTTCTAGCTGACTTCTAGCTGACGGTGAAGCAGTGCGAACACAGTTACGAAATGGCATCCGCGCGCCGTTATCCTGCAGTCCCGCTTCCGCGCAATTTTAAGCAGAGAAAGTGGCACGCTACAACAGCTACGCACCCAGTCACTTCGCACATGGTGAGTACCGTTCCCCAGGTGAGTGTGCATTGTCTTTGAAGACAACGCCGAGATCGCCATTTGCAGGCTGCAGAGTTGAGATTCACTAAATTACGTGGTAAGTTGGATGTTAGTAAAGGAAAAAACGCGGATCAGTTAGTCGAACACGCCTAACAAAATCTGTGGCAGCATTATGTAGTCTACGACACACAGATATAGACTGTAGGGAAGAGAGGTATTAGGTTGTCCGGAAAGTTCTCAGCGTTTTGTGTTACTATTTTTTGTACATTCATTGCTGATTAAAAACTCATTCTCCCTTGCGTCTCAGTAGTACATCCTGAAGAGAATTCTTTGCGCTATCTGATGGTATAATTGCCGTTTCACCATTGCTTGATAAACCCCCTTTTCCCAAGACTTTTTGAAGCATGTCAAAAGAGCAACTTCGGACGATATTTTTCTTCGACTAAAAATTGGGTCAATCCGCAATCGAGACAGCTCAACAAATTAAGGTGTGGGGGCCCAATAGTGCTAGAGAAAGCACCGTGCGGCAATGGTTCGACAAATTTCGTTCTGGAGATTTCAGCCTTGAAGATGAACCTCGTAGCGGTCGACCTAAAGCAATACCTGACGAGGATTTGAAGGCGTTTGTGGAGGCTGACCCATCCCAAACAGTTCGAGAGATTGCAGAAAAGCTAGGCGTTGGCAAATCCAGTGTTGCAGATGGTCTGAAACGCATTGGGAAGGTGAAAAAACTCGATAAGTGGGTGCCCCACAAGTGAGTGACCGGCAGAAATTGGCACGTCTCGAGGTTTCCTCTTCACTGCTTTTGCGCAACAGAAACGACCCGTTTTTGGACCGAATTGTCACCTGTGATGAAAAGTGGATCATGTATGATAACAGGAGACGTTACGGACAGTAGTTGGACGCCGACGAACCACCGAGGCAATTTCCAAAGCCGAATCCTTCACGAAAAAAAGTCACAGTGTGGTGGTCATCGGCTGGTGTGATCCACTATAACTTTTTGTCACCAGGCCAAACCATCACAGCAGAGTCCTACTGTGAAGAAATCGACGAAATGTACCGAAAATTGCGTCAGCTGCAGCCAGCACTTGTCAACAGAAAGGGTCCGATTCTTCTGCATGACAACGCCCGCCCACACGTTTCACAAATCACTATCCATAAATTGAACGAATTGGGGTTGAAGTTCTACCTCACCCGCCATATTCTCCAGACCTTTCACCAACCGACTATCACCTTTTCAAACATTTTCAGAACTTCCTTGCTGAAAATACTTCATCAATCAGGACCAGGCAAAAAAGGCCTACATGGACTTCGTGGATTCTCTACCACCCAGTTTTTTCTTTGATGGGATTTATCGAATGGTGTCACATTGGCAAAAGTGTGCTGATTCGAACGGTGCCTATTTCGATTAAATCCGATGAGTATTAAGAAAGTTATGATCGTTTGAAGTGAAACACTCAACCCAATAGATCATAGCATGGAAAGATATCCATATGCAAATACTCCTTACCTTACTGCTGTAAAGCGATGGTAATGCGAAACCTTGAAAGACTCACCTCACCGAGGCAGATTTAGCTTGTCGTTTTTGAGACGTGACGTTTAAACTCTCTACACATCCTAGACCTCATCCTTTTTTAGTTGACATTGGGCAAATTGACAAGAAGCCTTATGTTTCGACCTTTGTGGAAGAACAGAATTAGTGCTCTGAGCGTGATGTCAGGCTACATTCTTGCCTTCTCCACGTTTACACGGTTCTGTTATTTCTTCGACATGTACGGATGTAAGTATCGATATTTTCACTAAAGAGGGGCTACCAAATTCACGGCCTCTTCAAACCAATGCACGAACTTTACAACCCAAACTCAAGCCTCAGTTACCTAAGCCTCACAAGACACTACTGCAAGCTACAGTCAGCGCACATTACAGCGTGGTCGTTATTTCTCGACTTGTGTTCTATTACCTCTCTTTTGTAACATTTTTGAATTTTTATTATTTCGCACATAAACACCATCTGAAAAGGGCTGTACTAAGCATATGGACAGCTCCGCCCTCTTTCTGGAGGATTTGTTGCAAACTTCAACTTTTCGCAGCATTTTTTTCATCCTCGATGTTTCCTCTCCCACCCTTCATACGACGAAGGTACTCGTAGAGGCGCATTTATGCAAGGACACATTGACCTCCGCTTCCGCAGCTAAGAAATACATCAGGAAGGCACGACACGCTTGCGACGAAGTCACCACTGCGCTCGCTGTCACGGCACTCCCGAATCTGAAGGGACTTCGCGTGGGTGGTGTACAATGCTGCCTCCACTTGTACTACCTTTTCAAATGGTGACGGTGAGGGTGATAAGGGAAAAAATCGATATAAGGGAATTCATATGTCGTTTCTCCGCTTACCATCTTGGCATTAGTATTTGAGGACCGGACTGCTTGAATAAATAATACTTACTAAGACCTCATGCTCAGAATCGCATAATCTGTTTCGCTTATATATAAAATCTCATCGAAGAAGATTCTCATTCCCGTCATATGCCCTGTATATGATTTGAGGGAACCAGAACATTGTTGTACTGGCGACACTCGTTACGTACTCGGTGACCCCCACCCGTTTCTACACGATTTGTAAGCTTTTCTCAGCTGTTATCACTTGTTGTCAACATCATGGGCGTCTCTGCCCCACCTTCAGGATCACCTATTGATGCCATGCTCCCATTGTTGCTGCGACGTGCGCTTCGAGTTCCGTGATAGAGAACTCGACACACATATGTAGACTGAGGATGAAGATTACCCATATATTTAATTCGTTTGTTTGTTTGTTTGTTTGTTTGTAAGTTTGTAAGTTTGTTTGTTTGTTTGTAAGTTTGTTTGTCTGTCCGGAAATTCGGTTCGACCTGAAGAACGACTTGGAGAGGTCGGGTCAAGGTGGGGATGGGTAGAGCATGGGACAAGAAATATCATCACCCCATATATGTAATTCGCTTCGTTTGTTTGTTTGTTTGTTTGTTTGTTTGTTTGTATATTTCGGTTCGACCTGAAGAATGACTTGAAGAGGTCGGGTTATTGACCTGAAGAGCGACTTGGAGAGGTCAGGTCAAGGTGCAGGGTTGGGTAAGAAGCATGGCGACAAAAATAAAAGCACCACTTGACCTATGCCGAAGCCCCCGCTCATCGTGGCGCAGGCCGTCCGCTGAAATTTTGGGCTTCCGCAGAAGAAATGTACATAATTCGCTTCCGGAGCAGCTCAAAGATGGGGAAAAAGTGGCATGAGGTTAGCAAGGAGTTGCTAGACTAACTATGGGAGACACATCCAAAATGGGCGGAGCATACTCAAGGTGGGCGGCGCCTCTCACAAAACTCAGTAACTTCGCAAGAGTGTTTAGAAGTCGCAAAACGTTCATTGCGAGATATATTGTACAATTTCTGGCGAGTGGGTGTGCATGCTCAAATGGTGTGTTGAACCAGCCACAGTGGCGGAGCTTGGCCCTTAATCGTAGATACACCATTTTAAAGTTTGTTAGCTCCGGCAGTTCCAGAACACTCCAGAAACCGCGAAAAAAGCGGGGATCGCAAGCGTCAGCGAGCGCTGCGCGGCCGACTAAGTCAAGTGGGTAGAGTCAGACAAAAGCTCTGCAAAATAGTTCCAGAACACTCCAGACACCGGAAAAAAGTGGATTAAAGTCAGCATAGGGTCGCCGGTGAGGATTATGGGGCACAAGCATTGTGCGCGGAGCCTGCTTCAAGGTGGGCGGAGTCAGACGAAAAATCTTTGAAATAGTTTCAGAGCATTTCAAAGACCTCAACAAATTGAGTTGGTCGCCCACTGAGAAATGTGGGGCATGAATGTTGTGGACGGGGCCAGCCCGAGGTGCGCGGAGCCAGACAAAAAATATCTGCAAAACGGTTCCAGAGCAGTCCAGGCACCGTCAACATGTAAGCAGAGATGTGCAGGACCTCAACTGTTGGATATGTGGCAAGAGTTGAGCATGTGTCTGTGGTGTGTTGTAAGCCGCTCCCGGGCGGGGCGCACCACGTACTTATTCTTACTGAGTTTTAGCGCGTATTCTGCCATATTCTTAACGACCGGTCGTCCCTACGGTATTCTAAATCCTGTCAGCTCCGGCGGCTGATGCCAGCGCTCTTCCTCCTGTGATACGGCCCAAGTTTGCCGAGCGGGTACGGCTTTGCCACACATTCCTTCCCCAGCTATTCTCTCGCCTGTGTCCATAATCGACGCACTTTAGTACCACTCCATACTCAGTGTTGGTCAAAATAGCAGGGATGATGTATTTGTCAGGAGCTTTAACCATGACTATAGAACAAAAGCCTGATATCAGTTGAGTCTAGGAATATGTGGAAACAGGTACGCGCGGCGAAGCCGCGCCCGTCCAACGCAGCCGAATTGGTTTCTAGACGTGACCATTCAAAAACCTTATTCGGTAGAGAGAGAGAATGAATTCGATATTATGCCAACGTTCGAATAAGGGAAGAGATTTGCGCAAAGTGCTCTCTTTATGAACCACCCGTGCCATAGGAGGTTCCCAACTGGATGCTGCAGAGATAGAGTTCTAATACCTATTGACATGTATCCATTCCACAGTGCTGCTGTAATTTTCATTAATTGAAGTGGTTTTCTTCGTTCCCTTCACCGTTTGCATGGTGTTCATCGGCATACCACTTGTGTACTTTGAACTGACTTTGGGTCAGTTCACATCGCTCAACTGCATAGTGGTTTTCAACCGCATGGCTCCGGCATTTGCAGGTGAGCGATTGAATTATTCCATAGAAGTATTCGAAAGGGCAAAAAAGACATTACCCATAGTTAAAGCTACACGTTTCATTCTTTATGCGTAACGCTTTGATGGAATTTGGACCCTAGCGTTAATCTTTTACTGGGAGACCACTGGGAAGAATATGCAATTTCTGTTGTGTGGTGACCGGTTAATGGGAATAGTCGCTAAGAGTTCCTTGCATGATTCAGCAACTCAGAAGTTGATTTTTTTGCTGAAGCGACTTACAAATGATGGTGCTATGACTTCAAAAAAAGCTCGCTTGTCAGTAAATGACCAAAGCAGCCTTCACAGGGATTGTCTACTTTTGAATTTTTTCCAAGTTTGTTAGTGACTGAGTGTGCTGAACAGGACCACAAGGTCTTCAACCGCTGAAATTTAAACATTTAAGGACTTGGAGTGTCTATGACGTTGCTAAGCATTCTTGTAACCATAACGGACCACCTGGCGCTGTACAGCTTCGTAGCTGTGATAGCAGAGACAATCCAGCTGAACAGAAATGAGATGCCTTGGCACAGCTGTTTCAACATCTACAGTACTGAAGGTATTTTTTTATAGTCAGTTCACTGCGTACTGTGAAAATTTATTGTAAAGTGGCGCCCAATCTGACTCGGAACTCCAGCAATCAATTTGACCGTTTGCATTGAGGTGTGCACCGCTGTAGGCATCTTGAGACGCTGTAGTCAAATCTGTTCTCCGATTTTGTGCACTTCACTGTTGTGACTATTTTCTTTTCTATTTTCTATTTCAACATACAGTTAGAATTAGTCAACAATATACTCGTCATAGTTAGCCACTACACCTAATGGGCAGGTAAGCATTACCCTTTTCCCAAAAGAGAGGAGGCTGCGAGTAGAGTAAGTCAGCGGCCTCTCGACTGGTGTCATCAAAGTTGCTGAAAGTTTTCATAGATAAGAAGGCCTTAAGAAGGTGGAGCAGGTAGCAGTCGTAGGGACTACGTCAGGAGAGTACGATGAGCGGGTTTGGTCTCCCAGCCTTGCTCCTCAATTATTTGGTAGGTCTCCATAGCAGGTATGGGGTCTCGCGTACTATGAACGAGGTGCTCCGAAGCTAGTTTCGGTCATTTTTCTCCAACAACTTCCACCGGTTTCAGGAGCTGAGCGACACAAATGGTAGCGGTGATCGTGTGTTCTTACAGGGCAGCTCGTCTGCAGCATCCCCCTCGCGTCCCAGGAGCA